CTCTGTCCCAGCCGGAACCAGGACAAGGGCTAAGCACTATTCTAAATCACAAACTAAAATGCACAGTTTGCTGTTGAGCGCTGTGACAGAGGAAAAAAAAAATCAGTCCAGATTTATTCTTTGATAAGAAAATCAAGCGATGGCCTAGGAGTAACTCCTGTTTTTGCATTACGGTGTGCAAAGCGTCACTCTAGCTACAAGATGTCCAATTAAAGATGCCCAATTTAAGACACTAATTTTACGATATATTAAGATATAAGGTCCAATTGCATACTGTCTAATGCTTTGAGGCAAGAAGGATAATTAGTGGGTGATGCGATAAGATATCCTCCCTATTCAGATCAGTTATCTCCAACACGACATTTAATGTATCTATGTACTGGGTAAGATAGGACTAAAACTTCATGCACAGCTCATTTTAGACAGAATGTTTTCACACAGGCTTGAGAATAACAGAAAGAAAAGAGAAAGGAGGAAGCTATCACTCCTCCTGATGAACACGAGAACAAACGAGAACAAACCTGGTAGCGTTGGCTTCCCTGTTATGGTTTGGTTATCATTACATTATTTTCAACAAGTAAGATTCTGCTTAAAACCTCTTCTGCACTTTTAAAAATCTGTTCTAGATTGTCATTCTCAGAACACTTATATGACAAATAAGTTACCTTTTCTAGGAATCTTGCTTTTATTACAATGTCTCTAAACAATTTTTATGGAAACTCAAGCCACTACAAGCAATAATCTTGAAGATGATAATTCTGAAAAATACATCTTAGAGTCTTCTAAAACAGACTCATGTCCTAATACTGTAAACTTACATAACATTCTATTAAGACTCAACTTTTGAAAATTATTCAAGCGCTTTACAGTCTTAAGAGCAGAGGCTAGCTAACCATAGACTACAAAGCTTGAAAATTTGTATCTGAGGTTTTTTCAGCATATTAATAGATGTTCTACTAAAACATATTCCACTGCCCAGGATGGACTTTGAAATACACAGGGAAGGAGTTCTAGTTTTGTAACAGATCGTATGAAAAACCCAGAAGGACCCTCAAAATAAACTATTGCATTACAAAATATTAATTAATGCAGAAGCAATATGAAGAACAAGCAGATGTTAGATTATGTAGTGTCAAACCCTATAAATCTCATGGATACAGCCACATTTCTTCAACCACCCTAATGATACTCTCAAGATGACTAGATTCCTTGTCCTCATTAGTAATTCTAACACCAACACATTTCACTTTTATACTTTCCTCATATGAAGCAACTCAGGATGATACGCAACCAGCAACTCAGGACGATATGCAACCAAGTGATCTCTTAAGTGCAACTTAAGAAACTCTCACTTTGAAACTTAAGAACTCTCACTGTTGACCCTACCTTTGTAACCTCCCAATCAGTGCCTCTCACCATATAAACTTACATACTCTAAAGCATTTGCAAACATATAATTTAAAAAAAATGCTATTAGCAAACTCTTCAGAATATTAGAGGATTCAATAACGTATTTTGCTTTTTAAGGCTTATAACAGGTGTCAAAGAAAATAGTTCTTTAACAATTAGCAGTTATTTGCTGATTCTTAGTAAAATAGGTCAAACAGACATTAAAAGTTTGGACTCTTCTGGTTGTTATGAAGCATTAGGAAGAAAAATACACAGTGGTTCTGGAAATGCCTGCTTAACTGTTTTGACAAAATTGAACAAAACCAAATAGGTATAAACTAGCTGAAAACAGATGTACGCTAAATGTTAGGGAAAGGTTCCTAACTAATAGAGCTGGCAAGGTTGGAAAAGCCTTCTAATCAAAGCAGTATGAACAAAAATCTTAGCCATTTTAAATTAATCTTTGTGAGTTGATGAAGGGGATTATAAAATGCGCCTACCTGTAATATAAGAAATAGGGCATTTTTCTGCTGCTGAGTTCTAGCTCTTCAAATCCTAAGCAGCCCTACAAATTTTACTGCCCTGAACTTTACCTTGTACTTTCAATAGAGGTGGGAGAGCTACAGGCTGCCCAATGTTCTGTTCACCATCGCCCTATCCTTTGTTCGGATATTCTTTGTCAATAAGATGTAAAAGGAATTACTTTAAGGTAACATCTAAAGTCCCCCTGCATTAATAATTTCCTTTTCACATAGTTAGCAACTTTGCCTTGCTCCTACCAAATATGTGATTTAAAAATGTGTATTTTTGCATAAATTAGAGGTGGGTTTTAGTGTTTGTTGACTAAATTAGATGCTAACTTACAGAATCAATACAAGTATTATCTAACCCTCCTGAATGGGGTTTTAATATTTTCCATGTTGTTTATTGATATTGATAAATAAATCTTTTGAGTCTCTAGATTAATAAAATACATATATGTAAATAAAGGGGAAATCTTACTTTCTTCCGATGATCTCTATGGGGTATTGTAGTTCTAAGAAAATTTGTCTGGGAGTAGAGCGAGAGTTAATAAAATCTCCAGAATTTACCCCCTCCCCACCACCACTGTATAATATGCATTCTATTGGTTTACAGATCTTAAAAATTCACAAATTCCTATTCACTCTTTACTGAAAAAGAAATGAAAGTCCTAAGGCTGTACAAACTATGGGTACTAAAATAATTTTAATGAAAAAGACAATTTCTTATAAAACAAATGTTGCACACCACTATAGAACATACGAAAAACTACTTAGTTCTGTAATTATGCACTTTTGCATTAAGTTTGATTAAAAAAGAAAAACAACGGGCGCTTACTGCCCTTAAGTTGAATTTTAACATTTAAGAAAACAATTAAAATTAAAAAACAATTAAATTAAAAATAGTTTTTACCTGGTACAGGCTGTCTCTCATTCCATTCACTTGTGATTAAAACCTCTAGGATTTTTATGTGGTGTTCAGTATTATCAGAACTGCAAGAGATGGATTAGACAGTAAGAACTAGGAAAAATGCAGAAGCTTACATTAGAATTATTCAGAAAACATGGAAAAAATTCACAACAATGCTCTCCACATTAGAAGTAAGGTCAGAAAATTAATTCATTAAACTTACTTTTGTATATAACTAACCCATATTTACAATACAAAATATAATAAAGATGACCCACGTACCTTGCTATCTGGAATTTGAAAAGCAGAGGGCTGAAAATTTCAGCCAGAGACCTTGCATTCAGGAGATTTTTGCTGGAGGCTTGACAAACTCTGAGGAAATGTTTGAGCAAATACTGGAGTGTGAGCCAATACTGGGGAGGTATATTTGGAGATCTGATGAGTTTCTTCAGCAACTGAGCATATTCCTCTGAGCTCTGCACTTCTGCAACCAAACAGATAAAAGGCTCTTGATATCAGCACAGAAACATTCAACAAGTAAAATGAAACTATATATGACTCCTTTGGAAGCATCAATTTTACAGGAAAAAAATAGTAATTCTGTCCTTCATTAGTGCCGTTAAGACTTCTTTCTTTTTTTGAAAACACTGAAATGCTCAGGGAAGAGTAAAGAACAAGTATTTAAAAGTCAAATGGAAACAGATATGCATTTTGGTAAAAACCACAACGTGTTCAGAGTGTACTGGTAGAAGTCTGTCTTGTGTTTAGCGTTACACATGATTGGGTAATTCTGAGATGCACGAGATAAGTCTCACAGGTGCTGTTCTAACTTTGAAGGTTACTAGTAACAATATCCTGTCCTGAGATATATAACAAAATACTTGGCCCATGTGCTGAAAGCCTATAAGCTGTACTTGTTTGAAATGACCACTGTAGATGATGAATCTTACATGCATGTGTTTCTCACTTCATAATCTGCAACTCCCAATGTACTGCAGAACACCATGACCTCTAGCACATTTACTTTGTCAGCACTGATAAAAAGTTAAAAATTAGCTTTCTGCATACAGATAAGTCCTTGATTTTTCCCCCCAGTTTTTCTATAGTCATTCTACCCACTGAACTGAAGAGAACTGTGTCATCCTTTATATTATCCTGTATGTTTACCTAAATAGGTAAGTAAATAATACATGTCTAGATCTGAATTGAAAAAGCTTTCATCAAAAGTGGTGAAGGTATATATGTTTTCTGAGATGCTGCCAGGTTGTGCAGAATCTTCCCTGTTCTGTGAGTGACAATTGGAACACTGGATATTCAGATTTGTAATAAAAGCTTTTTTGTTTGACATTTGAAATAATGTGATAATCATACCTTGAGCTACAGAAATCATGTCACTGTAAACAGCTGCTGGAATGATGGGATTTGGCAGGTCCATGAGATACCTCTTGAGAGCATCTGATAAAGTGTGCACATCAAATGTCTCTAAATCCAACGATTTTTTTGGAAAGAGCAGCATACTTTTTAGACATCAGAAACTGGAAAAAATATACAGGTTATATGATATTAGGGCTTTATACCAAGCCAAAACTGCTAACTTACATCTGGTTTACAGAGAACAACTTGTAAGAAAGAATGTAAGACACCAAGAAACATCTCTGAGATGAAAAACATACAGTGCTCAACACCATGCCCACGCCTTCGGCATGTGATGAACCAAACGGCTTCCACAGCTCTGTGTGGCCTTCTGTCATATACAGTGCAGGGCTGAACTGAGAATAATGGTAGTGACTTGCTGCATGTTGGCTATGTTATGGAACACCAGAATATTTTTAACATGTCTCTGTTTTACCTGTCAATATTTTGTGTAAGAAGTAAGTATTAATCAAGGGTTTGGGCAAATGCAGCTTCTCTACTGGTAGCTACTTCTATTATGACTGGAAGTTTGATTAACAACTTGGAGTGCCAAGTCTGTAAATATTTATGTGAGTACGTCGAAACAAATATACACGTGCAGAACTGGGTGCTTGGTGTTTTATGCAGCTGTTAGGGTTTATCTTGTAAAACCTGATATCCTTCCAGGATAGTTATGACTTGGGCTGAGGTTTGGAAGTGTCGCATAAAGGACTACTTGTTAGCATTGGAGCGAGGGATATCAGCAGCAAAAATAAAAATAGGAAAATACAGAAATGCTTACTTAGTTCAAGCAAGATTACGGTTCATCTCAAAACATGAAACTCTGGCACAGCAAAGTCCTAAATGTTTACAAAGATCCACATTTGGTACAAGAATTTAGAGGCATTAATGCTGACCAACTTTCTAGGCTAGCCAAGTCCCCTGTAAAATAACTCCTGAATCTATTTGGCCATTTTAAACCAAATTCAACCGGGAGGTAGAGAAATCAGATATGTGATCTGAGTACACGTACTGTGAAAAAAGGCAGTCAAGAGGGGGTAGTGAGAAACTTAGTGCTCCTCCACTTCCTTTCTGTTTTCCCCAAAGGAAAGCTTGCAGTATGAGCTTAATTCTTATCAGACACCAAAGAATTTACATGAGAGAAAAGACACTATGAATGGCTCAGATAATAAAAAAACTTGCAGTGTGGGTATGAATTCTATAAGAGCAATTATGTGTCAGAGAATCCAATCACAAATTCGTAAGAAATAGTTTTCATTAGTTGTGTTGCTAACAGGATATTTTTTATTTCGTAAGCCAAGTTAAATCGTGCTTCTTTCAGTGTTGACCCATTCTCTGAAATATATCCCAAATTATTATAATGAATACATGAGTAAGAATAAACTTGTGGTACTCTGCAACTCTTTGGGTGTAATGTCATAAACAGACCTGAACTCTTCCATCTGCTGAGCTGGCCAGACACAAGTCAGCTTTGATTTTGGAGCTAGATAGCACTGTGTTGAAGCTAACAGGCAGTTATCCAATTCATATGGAGAGCATTTTAACCATAAGCAGAACAGCACACTAAGGCAGTTCACAACTTTGAGACCAAAGCTGACTTTGTTCTCTGAATTAGCTCTCTGAATCTCTCTGCTAATTCAAAGAGAGTAGGCAGAGGAGAAGAGATCTGTCTGTATCTATGGATCTGGACACCCACTGCACCAGCTCTGTCCTGGAAGATTCTGATCCTATCTTAAAGAGAACTCAGAAAGATACACTGTTACTAAAGGGTAAAGTCCTGTTTTCTTTTCTCAAACCTAATTACATTTTAAATAAGAATACATGTAAACCACAAGTTCTTGATCTCAGGAAATAGATGAAACTTTCATAAAAGTATACCTCACTTTAGAGACTTAAAAAGGGATTTGGATAAATTAAGAGATACATTCATATTGCTGCCATAGAAAATCTGGATTTATCTGGACTAAAAAATATAATTACAATACTAAAAATATGGCTTAGGCTGCTAGCACCACGTGCGTATCTCCTCTCCCTGCTTGCTGCACTCATATACTTCTTCATTCCCACCGCGATCAGCAGAGGACAGGATGCTCTTTTGATTTGAAGGAACAGGCAACTCATAGTATCATCTCTTGTTCATTTTGTTAATATTTGCAATTACTAATAATGAAGAGAGCTAATTCACAGTTTGAGCTTGCTTCCTTTGTCCCTTTGGCAACATGGCATGTAACCAGTTTCATTTTCTAGCCCTTTTATTTTTGTGCTCTTTTATGCAAGTGGAAGCTCACACCCCACATTGCACCCCAGCTTGCAAAGGCGTGGTCAAGCACTCCTCCTACAGTATCTCCTGATCTCTCATAGTGCAACTGAGTGTTGCCATGCCAGTATATTCTAGCCTGAAGGAGAAATAAAAAGTACCAAAAAGAGAAGGAAATATATTTCAGAAAACTTGAATGGCTATGTGGTGTTAGTGGTGTAGCTGCGTCTTACTGTCCAAAACCTGAGAACCCAGCCTACTGCAGCAACCTTTTCCCTTCCAGCATCATCTCTGTAGCAGGCAGGGGATGTGCAGCTATTGCCTCTCCACCTACTGGACCAAAAAAATGCACACACAGAACTGTATGTAAACAAATGGCCATTTGTTTACAAAATAATAACCTGCAGCCTTACAGGAATAATGTATCTTTATCTTAGTTCTGAACAAAACACCCTGTTTTTCTCTGTACAGCTAGATCGTCAGTCCTTGAACAAGCAAGTGAATAAGAAACGATTAAAATAATTATTCTTGGAAAAAATCACGCAGTGGACCCATGAAAAAAAGACAACCTGTAAAAGTGAAAAATACCTTTCATATTAAGTGTAAAAGTTAGAAATCTTTTTTACTTACATTTGCCTTTTTAATACTATACTATTCAAAACCAGCACATATATATAAGCTGAATAGGGGAACAAAGGAAAGAGGAGTAGTCTGACAACAAGATCTGTTTAGTTCTTTGAGGAAGAGAACTGTACTTACCACTTTCAAGAATTTGTCTTAATTCTGCTGAGCTGCTTGAGCCTTGTGTTCCATACAAAGTTGAACACTCCAGACCTTCAAAACAAAATGGACGGGATACACTAATATTCCAGTGACTGTTGCCATGACACAACATACTTCTGTTTTCTTCAAATAACTACTTACAGTTTAAATTAGCAACATTCTCCCACCACCATCCACCTACCACCTACCACACTACGGAATGTGATTGCTTTTTAAGGCTGTAAGACACCTCTTTGTACATGCAAACTGCTGGGTCTGCAGAAAGAGCTGGCCAAGCAAGATCAGAGATGCCAGCACTCCCACGTATTCTGTATAACTCTCCACGGGCTGGCTGTAGAAGGCCAGGACTAGGAAACAGATTCACATACTCCAGGGAAGAAAACAGCTTGCAGGAGCAACATGGGAGCCAGGTCTTCCTTTACACTCTACATCCCAGCTGGAAACACCAGGTTTTTCAGGTGGCTAAGAAGTGAGTAATCTGAGTCAGGTCACACCACAGGAATGGAACAGGGATATGATAAAAGTTCTGACACATCCTAATCAGCTTCAAAGATTTAACTGAGACTTCTACATTACAAGCGTGCCTAACCTTTGGCACCCTATACAGTCAACAGAGACTGAGAGCCCCTTCTATGGGACAGGTAACCCTTAGGTCACCTTGACTACCCACAGAGCCCATAACTTCACAGTGTACGTAGGGTGAGTGTCGCATCACTGGCGTGAGAGAAAATGTCTGTATATGTCACATAATATGTCTGATAATCCACCTGAATAAAAGACACCAATACAGTGCTTTCATGTGAAAGATACTGTTTACAACTTTCCTACTTCAGAGAAAATAGAGAAGACACAAGGAAAGAGACCATATCCAGGGATGCAGAGCACCAATGATTTAATAGTATCAGTGGCATTTCCTGGAAGCAGCGATTGCTTTTGCAAACTGTTGCTCAGTACTGGCCCTTCTCATTGATATTAGCAAGCTCTTACTCATTCAGGAAAGGCTTATGCTCTAATTAAAGTGTCAGAGCAGTATGTGAGAACCTGTGTCTCCAGGGGCAGCAGCCTGAGTCCCATCAGGATACGACTCTTCTTCTTGCTCCCCAGCTATAAGGCCACAGAATGAGCAGGACCCACTGAGCTGCTCCTTACCTCACCAGAACTATGAAGGTGACATCAGAGGAAGAGCCAGGAGAAGAGAAATAGGACAAAAGAGGCAGGACACAGTAGAAGAAAGGGGAAAGCCTCAAAAGGATGGAGAGACATCAACATGGGAAAGCAGGAGAACAGAAACCATAAAAATAACACTGGCTGTCTCAGCATACAGCAGCAATAAAGAACTGGCTCCTGAAGCATAAAAACACTTCTTGTAACTTTTTCATATTTAATTCTTTTTTTTTTGCCACTTTGGGGCAAAACATTACTTGTTTGGCTGTTCACTGTTATGATGGCATTTCCATAACCAACTTGAGGTGCTTATCAGTTAGAAAAAACAAAGCAATACCAAACCCTTCTCCCTTACCTTTCAATAATACTTATATTAGTTGAGTTATTAAATGTCATTTGAGGTAAGCTTTGGTTTTGCTCCTACAGTCCAAGTAGCTTCTACTGAGCAGAAACCAATGTAACAAACCTTAAATGAGATTATTTCATATCTGTTGAGTAATGTGATGCATTAGCAGCTCTAGAAAGAAGAGATGCCAGCTCTGGATCTGATTCTGCAGTCTTGGCTCATGTAAGGTAAGAACCTTGGCAGACCATTCTTCAGCCTACCTTTCTTTTCAATTGTCTCCACCATCTTGATAAGAATCGGTGGAGCAACATCAGGAGGTGCAAACTGTTCCGTAAGATCTGGAAGTGAAAAAGCTGTAAAAGAAAAAGAAGAAAATAAGCCAAGCTACAGTTGAATGCAATTTCTGTTTATGGAAATCATGACACATAATGCAACCAGTTAATTTTTAAGTACGGAACAAACAACCCACTTGTCAGGTCTAAACGAGAACACTTCACAAGTAATCAGAAAGCTGAATAAAAATGATGACAATTGCATTTTTACAGAATTTTCTTTTAGCGACCTCAGTCAGTCCTAGAATCACTCTCCATGTTGCTGAGGAAAAGAAAACACAATAAAAGTTTGCAGTCTATGGATGGGCAGAAATACAATGCAAGGAAGAAAAGAAAAAATCTTTTGGTCTGAAACATTTACATCCAGTGTGCACCAGATGAGGGAGCTAAACACATCACCACCTGGGAGTTACTGATCCCCTGGATAAAAGAGACTTACAAAGGCCTGAAATAGCAGTAGAAACAAGTATTTCACACTCATACAAAAGTTCAATAACTTCTGTTTGCTTTCAATTTTCAAGCATAATACTTTTAACAGTATAGTTTTCTTGAAGCAAGAAGTTTCTTTTCTGCAATGACTGGTTAAGAATAAATAGTGGTATAATCAGAAAGGGACATTTTGCAGATTCAAACAAACCTGCACACGGATTTTATACAAAGTCAGTTTTCACGAAATCCAGTTTCTTCTCGGAGAGAACATACTGTATAAAGGAATGTTCTGGCTCTGTGATGTGATGATCTATCTCTGAACAAACTATTTTTGCCAAAAGAGTAATTCAAAAGTTTTAAAGCGGTCCTGTTTAACTCTTGGAAAGCAAAAATGTTTACATAAAGATATTATTAAACTACTGCCAGAAACATCTGGCAGAGTTTGATGGATTATGATTGATAAACAAAGCTTAATCACTGAAGTAAAAGTTGCCAGTTACCTAAGCAATGGTGATCTCTGCCCGATTAAACTCGCCACAGAGAGAGAGCAATTCTTAAACACACATGCACATACGTGCCTGCATGCATATATATACATACATGCAGGCACATGTACACACCGTATTTCTAGAAGACTGCAACTGAACAAAATTATAAGGATAACGAAGTAGAAGGAGAAAAAGAAAAAAACCACAACAGCAAAATATGAATAGAAATTATTTAATGAAAAACTTTGAGATAGCAAAAAAATTAAATATACCACAACTGAGAAAGAGAAATCAGACAATTTTGGCTGAGAATTCACCCTGCTTTGGAAGCAACAATTATTTAACTTTCTAAAAATGCAAACAACTTAAAAGTTGTAAGACAGCAAGGAAGGTACAGAAGAAGTTTGGAAGTGCAAAAAACTGAGGAGAGAAATGAAAGAGAACAAATAATAATAATTTACGAATTAGTAATGGAAGTGGAGCATACTGGAACATGGCAAAAAGAAGCAGAATGATGGTATGATAATGATGGAATACTTTCCAGTCCATTCATAACTGAGAAGGACATTAGAAAAACATCTGTTAGTCATAACAGTTTAACTTAGGAGGCCCAGAAAATGAGCATTCAGCAGTCCCAAAAGAGTTGCCTAAGCAGATCTCTGGCCTGCTGATGTTACTTTTTAATGACTTATGGAAAATCAGAGCAATTCCTGGGGATCAAAAGAGTTCTAATGCCTCATCCACACTCTGAAAAGACAAGCAAGATGACTACATGCTAGTTACACTATCAGTCCTGGGCAAAATAAAGGAGAACCTGATACTAGACTCACATAATAAGCAACAAAAGACAGCACTGTAACTAAGGATTGTCTGCATAGGTTTTTAGAGGATAGGTTCTGTTAAAAACCACACTACTTCCTTCCTTGGTGGCACCATAGTTAGCTGAAAAATGCAAATGAGTAGACATAATAAACTCTAACGTTTTGTCAGATAGTTGACTTACTAACACTGTGATTGAAAGCTAAATTCAAAAAAAAGCACATTATACAGGTGTAGCTGACCAGCAGACTTCCAAGTATAGTTATTAATGCAGAACAAGCTACTCAGGGAAGGAATGGACTTTTCATCTCTTTACATCTTCAAACCACTTTCAGGTTCCATCGGAACACCTCTTTTAGCTTAACATCGTATCTGCTTTATCAAACACAAGTTGGGCTCAAACGGAAGATGCTGTACTCCAAGCAGCCTCTGCTGAGGCATGCTGAAATACAGACCATTTGATTTGTAATATTCAGATCAAATAGTTCCTTTTGACCCCAAAGTATAACTCTATCTCATGATGAGGGCAAATCTATTGAAAGAATAAATGAAAGATCAGGTCAGCGTCTTATCAAAGGGTATGCTATGAAAATACTCAAATTATGAGATACTAATAGACTCACAGAATGCTAAGGGCGTAAAATGCATCTCTTATATGGTAGCAGAGGGAGAACAGGTTTTAAGAACAGAGTTTACGTATTTTTACTTCTAAGAGTAACTTTCTGTTCCCTTAGGTAGCTAGTTACATTAAGTACCTTTCTCCCTCTTGCATAACAACAATGAAATTGCATTATCTCTCAACAAAGACGCTCATCTCGTAATTCCAGCTGGAGGCAGCATGCAGCAACAGTCAACAGTCTAAACTGAAACTGAGGCAAGAAAGGAGAGACAAAGAAGAAACAGAGACAGAGGAATGGAAGTCAAACCTGACAGACATTTGAAATGTTTCAGGTGACAGCTCAGCAGTTCAGGCATGGTCCATCCAGGCTACTGAGCAGCAGAGAGAATGATGTTTTCTTGCATTAACCAAATTGTGTCTTGAAATGATGGCAAGAGATACACTCCAAATACCTATAAACAAGGTGTATTTAGAAGAAGGATTCCATTTCCCACTAGATTTAGATTTTCTACATGAGGGATGGAGTCCAAGCAAAGCAAAAAGGAGAACCCAGTGTCAGGGGAAGACTTCAGTTCATGGGAAGAAGCCCTTGCAGGGTGAAGAAAGACACTACAGAAAATGGTTTGTCTCCATGGGACATAAAGAATGGGGTGGATGTAGACCTTACCCAGATTACCTGAACAGAGAGTGCCTCTTCCTGCAACCTACCTGATGCTCCATGCTTTTCATCTATACTTTAAGCAGGATCTTAAGCTTTTAAACTAGGTTTGTATCATAATCTGTTACTGAATCTCTTTGTTGTACAGTATTCTCGGATCAATAATATTCTTAGTGAAAGGCTTTTGGAAGCTAAGCATTTACCTTTCTATTTATGCAAAATCTATAATATGTCATAAATATGTAAAGCAAATGTCACATTGGTTAAAAGGAAGGATTTCCAACACTCCTCTGCTACCCTAAAATATGCAATTGGAAAAATACTAAAATTTTAGGAGTTCAGAGGATTTCTGATGTCTCTTCCTCCCTATACCCCATTCCTTTTCTTCAAAACTGGAAATTTCTATCTACCAGAGACATTACTGAACTTTTAAATATGAAAAGAGCCTTTAAAATAATGACAATCTATTCCATAAATACATAAACTGTAAAATACTTGTGTATTTGACTGAAAACACGGGATATTCACCTCTCTTTTATTATTATGCACACACTGGGGAGTATAAGCTCTACAGCAAAAAATCACAAACACACACACAATGGCAGGTACAAAACCTGCAGCTACCTTCAACGCAGCAATGACAGAAGAATACATCTAAGTCACACGGTTATAGCGCTCAGCAACATTGAAAAAACCATTCATTTCATCAGCATGTAGAAGATGGCATTAACAAATTAAAAACACTCAACCTCCCACCTGTTCTAGGATTTCCTACTCCTTGTGCTATCTCCAATATAATTAACTCATAGCATCATATGGAATTGTACTTTAACCTCCTCAGCTTTTGCACAAAATAGAAAATTATGTTCATTTAAAGGCGAAAGGCTTCACAAAACAGACATCTGTCAGAAAAAAAAAAAAAGACTTAACAGTACTTAAAGAACTGAAGCCAGTTTGTAACATTTACACAGAACACAACCAAATTTGGGAACAGTGCCCTTCAATTCCAAAATGCTGAGAGGAAATGGCAGAGGCTAAACTGAAGAAAACTACACCTAATTTTGGAAAAAAACAATTTGACTCCCAGACCCAGAATACAAGATATCCTTGAAGAAGCCCTGATTCTAGATTAGGTGTTCCAGAAGAAAACTCAGCATGCATATTAAGATCTACAGAGGGAAAAGAAATCTTTTCAGCTAGGTCAGTTTTAGTAAAAGAGAAGAGAACAAAAGCCCACAAGCAACTTGCATTTGGTACCTGATTTCAAAAGTATCTTTTGCTTTGAGGCATGCTGTAGCACAGCACAGAGGTTTGGAGAACCAAATCCACTCTTAAGAATCTGAGCCACTTTGTAGATCCCTTTGCTACAATCCAGTATCAGTTTTTCACTTAAAGCAATCATTTTTTCCTTCAAATTCCTGTAATTTTTTTGAAATTCCACGGTCTCCAAAATATTAAGGTTCTGAGAAGCTGTCATACAGTCTTCGTCTTCTTTCTAGTCACAAGTCTGGTAGTGGGTCTCCAGATAGTAAGGAAGCTTCTGATGACACATGATAAAAGCTGGATTTTCCACTAGCTCTATTTTTACCTTGCCACAGTAAGAACCAATGAGATGAACCACAAGTCAGGGTTCGCTCCAATCTGCGAACTCTTCCCTCTCCCTGATACAGACAGGCCTGAACAGCTCCAAGGCAACAGCAACGTGTGGGAGATGAGAGCATACCTTACATTCGAGGGTTGCCAACACAGCTACAAAGTGCAAGATGAAACCAGCACACAGCTGCACCTTTTGGAAGGGTTCTCAGTAAAAAGAGATATTTTAGAGTTAGTACCTGGCAACGACAAATGGAAATTTAAAGCTGGAATGTGACTTCAGACGCTTCTGAGCCAAATCTTTCATTACTGCTAGAAGAAGAAGGAAGATGAATATAAAAAAAAAGAAGATAACTTAAAATGTAACAATACACACCATGGAAAGGAGTTTAATTTCTAAATATTTTACACTATA